TCACAATCTGGAATCATTTTACAGAAACTAAGGAAAAGAAAAGACATAACATGTGAAGAAGGGTGAGCTAATCTCATGTGCCACAGCTGCTCCTTGTTTACAGTGCTTGAGTTTACGTAGAAACTTTTTGGGAAACTTGAAGAGAATTTGACATAGTACAGTCCATTGAGGAAGAACCCTTTACCAATCGTTTCCTTCGAAACTTGGTCCTGGAAAATCACAGAGTGAGTTGAAAATATTGCAAGACAATTTAGCGAATGTGTTATTTTTCCTACTGACAATAGTTTGAAAGGAAAAGACGGGACATGCATGACAAGGGACTCTTTTTGACTTGAGAAGATTTTGAGTTTCCCTCTGCCTACTATATGAACTTTGGTGCCATTAGCTACGGAGACAAAAGAAGGGGTGGAAAATTTTTGAAAATCATTTAGTAAAGATGCATCGTTAGTCATGTGATCTGTAGCTCCTGAGTCAACTATCCAAAAATCACAACTACTACTAAGATCCAAAGCAGTGGAGATAGTTGCAATAATACCTGGCATGTCATTTTGTGACACTGAGTTTGATTGTTCGAGGAAGCCAGCAAACTTGCCGAGCATGGCTGAAGGAGTTTCATGATTTGTTGCTCCTTGTTTCTGTTGCAAGAAGTTAGCGAATTCATTTATGAGAGCAATGGGACTAGAGGAAGAGTTTATCACATTATTGGAGACATTCTCGCAAACAAGATTTCCTCTAGGGGTGTAGGCAGGCTTCATTTGGTTTCTTGGTGCTCTTCCATCGTCATTGAACTTAGGTTTAAGTTCTGGATAAAGAATCCAGCACTTCTCTTTTATGTGTCCAATACCTGTACGACCGATCTTCACACAGTGAGAACATTTTAAGTCTGGTCGTTTCCCCTTGTATGGTCTGGAGAAGGTGAAGGCTCTTGCTTCTGATGGCCTAAAAGTTGATTCTCCAACGACCATGTCTGCGTTCATGACCTTCTTTCTTACTTCTTCACGTTGAATAACGTTGCAGACCATCTGTAAAGTGGGAAGTTCAGGTGTCATTAAGAGATGGCTTCTAAGATCTTCATAATCTGGTCCAATGCTGGCAAGCAACTGGAACACTTTGTCTTCTTCTGCACGCTTTAAAAGAATGATTGTGTCCGTGGTGTGAGGTCTGTAGAGATCCAATTCATTCCATTTTGCCTTCAAGTTGCCAAGATGTTGAACAAAAGAGAGATTTCCCTGTTGTAATTCCGTAAGATCTTTCTTCAGCTGAAAGACTCTCGCAGCATTGTTTAGATCTCCATACATGTCTCGTACGGAGTTCCAAAGTTGGTGAGATGATACTGAGTAGCTGAAAATCTCAGCCATCTTTGGTTCCATAGAGTTTAACAGCCAAGACATGATAAGTTGATCTTGGGATACCCATGCTGCATAATCTGGTGCAGTTGTTTCGGGGATGATGTCATCCCTTTGAATGAATGGAAGCTTTCCACGTCCTCCAAGAGCGAGAGAAATGGCTCGTGACCAGGGCAGGTAGTTGAATTCGTTTAGAAGCACTGAGCTCAAACGTTGAATTGGATTGGTATCCATGGTTTCGTTTTTTGAAGTTTTTTCTGCTGGTATGGCCATAATGACTCAACTGGTTTGGTGGGATTTTCGGAGGAACACAGAAGCAGGTCCAAGTGGAATCACTGCTCTGATACCATGTGGAAAATCTGATGTATATTTCATGTATGAAAATGGTTTACAAGATCAACCATAAATAGAAGTGGAATACTAGACAGAAAGTAGAGGAAAGGTGCGGACTGAGATGGCAGCTCAGCAAGCATTGAGATGGCAGCTCAGCAAGCATAATTGAAGCACTATCTCTAACTTAAACTAATACCTAGCTTTACATGATGAGGGAACCTAGCCGAAAGTAAGAAAGTAAGATGACAATGAGTACAATGACAACTAGACAACCCTACCACCAATAATAATAGATACTTCAATAGATATAGCCTTAGGTAAGTGTCTGAATACTGCTATATTTATGTACAAAAATTGATATATTTATTTTTGCCAAGCAAGTATTTATATTATTTGGTGTGCTGATATCTTTATTATAAAATTGGGGAAAAAATCCAGAAAGAATTTGCTTGAAATTTACTTGACGACCGGTACTCCTTGCGCCAACGATGTTTTGCGAAACCCGAACATATACCACATATGTCATAGTTACTCTACATACATATACCACATATGTCCTAGTTACTCTACATAGACTACATTGTTGATTTTTGAACACACTCGATGTTGATGTTGTCTTAAAACACGATGGATGTGCCGCTAAACTACGGTCATGTAACATTCATCTCTACTAAGTGAGGAGGTTCTAACTCACTTGAATGACATGTTCAATACCTAATTATTTTGGTTGTCCATTGTGCGTGGCTTAGCCTAAATCCACACCCATTTAGTCATAAGCCATAATTCATTATTTTGGATAATTTTTCATGCACGAGTTGGTGCGGATAACGGTTCACGTATCTGTTTTGTGTAGGTTTGCTGTATAGAATTGTGCCAACATAACTTTTGTTCAAAATTTGTGAAGTTTGGTTTTCATAAAGCTTCAGAACTATGGTGTAGCATATTGATTTGGGTTTCTTGACTAGTCTACCAGCAGTTGTTTTCTATTAATTTGCAAGCGGAATGTGTAGGTTACAAAATTGTTGCGAGATCAATCCGTGACTTAAATGAGTCCGATAAACAGGAAGTGGATGTGAAGGCAATGCAGGCTGATCTACGCAAATTGAAGAAAGAGTTCAGTGAACTCAGGAAACGACATAAGCAAGTTCAGCTAGATAAGCCAAGTGTGGATTTGAAGTCACCAAACACAGCCAACATTCATTCAGTTGCAAATCAGAAACTGATGAAGGAGTTGGACCTCTTTTCTTGACGTCCCTGATTTTGGTACTTTTCATCTTCGGTTTTTCTGTGTTTCTCATAATATTCATCTTGCTACTTCATCCATTGAGACTATTCATCAAGGAGGTGATGTGAAAGGATTTAAACTCAATTTTTTTTATTAAATTTGTTCTGTGCAGTGGAGCTAGGATTAAATCACAATGGGGGCACAATAAGAAACTCTAATGAGTTCTACAAAATTATCTCATATTTATGGTTTATTGATCTCTATGTAATTATCGTATATTAACTATGTATTGTGGAGAACTAAATATTGAATCATAAATAGTCAATAATATGTATTACGTAATCAATATATACAAGGATACTATCTAATTATGCCTCTTGAAGAATTTAGTGTCTAATTTAAAAAACCGAGGAAGAATTTTTATTCTTTTGAACAAACCCCCATCTACTAAAATGTCAGATTTCTTTGCTACTGCTGTATTAGGATTTTAAACTCAATCTTGAAATTGAGTATAGGCCTTTTTGGTTGTACATAGGTTTTTATTGTGGAATAGATACAAATTTACCATGTACATAGTCTACTATTTAAGTAATGAACAAAACCGGTCTCATGTTTCTAGCTATTCATTTATCAACTTTAACGTTTTTAAAACCTGCAACGAAGTGCGGGTATTCTTACTTGTGGTAACGAAATGCACTCAACTCAATGCAGAACATATATGCCCTTATCAGAAGCAAAGATTATACCAACATTTTGCTTTCTCTATTGGAATATATACTTGTCTCCATGATTAGCTAGGTACCATTTGCAACTTCTCATTATTTTTCAACTTTTTAAGATTCTTTCTTACCAACTTTTGCCCTCGATTCCCTCGTCTAGATTGAAATCTACATCAGATGAATCGACGACAACTCTATATCACTAGAATCGATGACTCACAAAGTTTAGCGCATAAGGCTAGCGCACAAGAGATGCAGTCTTATTCTTTAAGGTGTGGTCCGTTCAACATGAAAGACCCAACTCAACCGCCTAACGCCTAAGCAGGGCTTTTTAGAACACTGTTAAAAAAAAATATTAACCATACCAACATTTTGCTTTCTCTATTGGAATATATATACTTGTCTCCATGATTAGCTACGTACCATTTGCAACTTCTCATTATTATTCGACTTTTTAAGTTTCTTTCTTACCCACTTTTGCCCCTGATTCTCTCGTCTAGTTTGAAATCTATATCAGATGAATCGACGACACTAACTTCCAAATCTATGTCACTAGAATCGATGGCTCACAAAGTTTAGCACATAAGGCTCGCGGACAAGAGATGCAATCTTATTATTTAAGGTATGGTCCGTTCAACATGAAAGATCCAACTCAACCGCCTAGCACCTAAGTAGAGCTTTTAGAACACTGTTAAAATAAATAAATAAATAACCATTAACTACCACATGATTTACAAAATATAATCTAAAAAATGATCGTTCTAGAACATATGCACTCAACTCAGTGCAGAACATATGCCATCACCAGAACCAAAGATTATACCAACATTTTGCTTTCTCTATTGGAATATATACTTGTCTCCATGACTAGCTGGGTACCATTGACAACTTCTCATTAATTTTCAACTTTCTACGTTTCATTCTTACCCACTTTTGGCCTCGATTCTCAAGTCTAGTTTGAAATATATATCAAATGAATCGACAACACTAACTTCCAAATCTATATCACTAGAATCTATGGCTCACAAAGTTTAGTGCATAAGAGCATTTTCAAAGGAAATGTCAAATTATCCAAATCAGCAATAACGGTAACAAAAGACAGCATTAATGTTTTCCAACCGAGAAGCCAAATTTGATACGGCATGACATGAATTGATATCTCTCCCCCTTGCTGCTAAATTTGACAGCACCTTCAATTTTTTTTAATTAATTATTAAATGCTTTTTATTAATTTTTTGTTAGTTTAAAGCATTATCCTTTTGTTTTTTTTCATTCCCAATGCAACGAAAGTACATGAATTATTATTTTATGTTTAAAATTTGACACATTGGTTGGAGAGCAAAAGTTTAAAAGATGTCAAAGTGCCATGTAAGCCTTCAAATTTAAATTTTAGGTTTACAAATTGACATCTCCTTTGAAGATGGTCTAAGGCTAGCACAAGAGATGCAATCTTATGATTTAAGGTGTGGTCCGTTCAACATGAAAGACCCAACTCAACCGCCTAGCGCTTAAGCAAGGCTTTTTAGAACACTGTTAAAAAAAAAAAAATTAACCAACAACAGCCACATGATTTACATAATATAATCTAAAAAATGATCGTTCTACCATTTTCCTCTCTAATATAAGCGTATACAAACATAATTATTTTTTACAAAAAACATTTTCAAACTAGCTCTTTATGGTAATTCATTGAAGAGAATGGAATTTAAACCACCACTCACAATGCATGTACCAATGCAAGAATGGGAATACTAAAGAGCAAAGCGGAATTCATTTCCTAGCATGTGCTTACCAAGGCGAACCAATGAGTATCGTTGCAATAAACACAAGGCCGCCTAGCTATTCATATGACCCATGCATCATCGACCTACGTACCCATATCAGACACAAGGTTGTTTACCCTTCCAAATAATCTCTTGCTATACCAATTACTACAAAGAGAAACGCCTGTGCTTGAGCTAAGAGAGGAGCCCTACAGATGAGAGGTAACACTGTGCTCCACCGCTCGTTACCAATCGAAATGGATCGCGCCGTCAGGGGCAACTTGAACCACTTATTTCAGGACGAGGATGCCCAGGCCAAGATGGTCCGGTTGGGCACCAGCATCGTAAAACACGCAATTGAGGAGGGCCTTAATGGTATTCCAGGTTTTACTTCCTCATCGCACTCTTCTTATCTATATGTTTGTTACACCAGCATCAGTATAGTAATGCATGAATACAGAATTTGTTACTCTAGTCTGTAGTCTCGGTTGCTTTTCTACTGATTTTGCAAGTGGACGTGTAGGTTACAAAATTGTTGCGAGATCACTCCGCTTCTTAAACGGGTCTGATGAAACAGAAGTGGACGTGAAGGCACTGCGGGCAGATGTACGCCGGTTGGAGAAAGAGTTCAAGGAATACAAGAAGGAAGTAGCTGAGCTACAAGTGGAAGTGAAGGCATTGGCTGCTGATCAACTCAGATTGGAGAAACAACTCTGCGAGTATAGGATAAATAAGGCAAGTGCGGATTTAAATATTAGGTCTTGCTTTCTCTATGTAATTGTTTTTTCTCTCTGCTTCTGCATCTCTTTTGGTTGGGATGCCTAGACTTCGAGATTTGATCATATGTGCCAATGTAGTAGTTTAAGTTGTACTTTGTATTGTTTAATCCCTTAAATTGATGGAAAAATGAATCTGCCAAATTCTATTAAATTTTGAGACTGACTTTCATAAATTGTCTTAATGATTAGAATCTTCTTCTTTGACTCACTGCATTTCGAGTTTAAATCTTTTCCCTTTTCTTAACGTAAATAAAGTAATAATATTGCTTGTACTAACATAAAAAGTCGCATTCCATCAAACCGAGAGAAACTTATGTAGCACTATGCCTGCCATGTGTGATAGTATTGAAAGTAAAAAACAAAACCGGGTCTCCTCCGAATCCAAATAAACCAAGCCCTCTGAGTAAAAGATTCGGACTATTGAAATTTGATCCAACGACTACAATTATTATAACTTAAAGAGGCCCTAGGCTCAGTTTATTTGGATCCGAAGTAAATCCGGTTCCGTAAAAAACAGTCTAGTTAAAAGAGTGAGTTGTGATGATGAAGTCAACTGAAATAGATTGGACCTGAATATTTCCCTCCAAATTGTCGACTAGAGTTCGGATCGCTGGTTTAATCAGGTCGGTCGGATTCATACCTACCCTATCAATTTTCAATGTATTTTCTAATTTCTTTCATGGAATGGTGTATTTTTTCACATCATTATTTGAAGGCGGTACAGTTTGATCTAGACGGATTGAAGAAGGAATTCAGTGAAAACAGGAAATTACACAAACAAGAGGAGATAGATAAGCCATGTGCAGATTTGAAGCCAGCTGATAAGATTCATTCGAAGATGTGATGGAGGAGTTTATGGGCGGGCATTTCTTCGACGATCTAATTGTTTTTTCGCCGGGAAACCTAAGAAGACCATAGGAAATAGAAGGCAACGCCAGGTGCCGAGTGAAGATAGGTGGAGCCATGATCACTATTAGTCATGAATTTGTACTGTGTATCAGGGCCGGACCCGAGTTTTTCAGGGTTCTATGCAAAACTTAAATGGAGGCTCTTTTTTTTTTTTAACGTTGTATTTCTTTATTATGTTTTTTTCAATTTTTTCGTCTATAAAATTAAAATATTACAAGTTACTGCAACAAAAATAAGTTGTTTGATCGGCCAGATTTTTTTCCTTACGTTTAAAGGTCCTAGGTTCGATACATGTTGGATGCCTATTTGTTAACCCAAAAGGAAGAAGAGCTAAACCGCTAGCTCTAGAATCACAAATATGGCTGTCTTTTGCATCTGATCTATTTTATATGCATTTGTATACATGTAATGAAAATTTGGGGGCCCTTCCGAATCGGGGCCCTGTGCGGTGGCACCTTTTGCACACCCTCAGGGCCGGCTCTGCTGTGTGTCTCTAAGTGCTTTTGCAGTTCCATCTGTTTTATTGAGGGGCCTAGACTTAAAATTTCGCCAAAAGCTTTTTATTTGGTTGATTAGTGTAGCTCGAAATAGTTGGGATGTGAGTTTTCCACAACAGTTGCGTTTGTCCGAAGCAAATCTGATGTGAGGGTGTTCGTGTCATATGGCAGTGTTGAAAGGTTGTACTGTACATAATTGTTCTTGCCCTTGTTTCAAGAAAAGGCTTAGCATCAGATTGTAATTTTTAAAAGTACTTGAACTTCAGAAAGTGCTTATCCAAGATTTAGAGTGCCATTTTATCCGGTGCTTCTAAAGACATTCTTTGCTTCCCTTAGCACCAAGACCAGCAGATACTTTGCTTCAGTAACTCTATGCTTTTGAGTTTTCAGTTCTCTTATAAAGGGCTTAGCCTTTCAAGGCAATCCTTCGCACACATAAGTTACTTTTAATTTGCTCTGGTTTTCGGTTTCTTTTCACAGAAGACGCGACCTTTACCTGTTTTAGCAGTCACTGAAGCCAGGTACGCTCTCTTTTCTGAAAATTATCGACTGCTAGTTTCTTATATGTCACAAATTTCGGATAGTTTAGTTAATTAATCAGATAACAGTTAACAACTAATTTTAGATCAAACCCAAACAACCAAGAGCTAGCCATCGTACACAGATACAATTACTGCTAGTTCCCCGCTCTTCAAATGAGAATCGGGAAGAGTATAATTTCGACAAAAATCTTGACAAATATCGGGAAAATCATGTGGAAATGAAAAAAAGATAAAAGGCTGGTGCTAATGAAGTTAATACGACTTTCACTAAAAGTGATTAAACCTCAATACATAAGTAGACGAAGATGTTGCTTCGACCTGTATATGATATGGTACAAAATGTTTAACCACAGTTTCGAAAACCAGATTAATGATCATCTATATATCGAATTGCTTGTTGAAAAATATATGCATCGAGGTACCGTATATTCAGAGTAAAATTATCTTGCATTGTTCTGGTGATGTGCAGGAAGCTATGGGATTTCTGACACCGATTTGTGAACCAATAATGTTCATATGGGCTCTGATTACACGATGGTTAAAGTATCAACAAAACTTTGAAGTTAATAATATGAACACTCTAAGAGGAATGTTGGAAGATCTAATTAGCCAAGGTGAAGATATAATCGAAAAAATAGAGGCCGAGCCTCTCCTTCCAAGTAAACTGCAACGCGATGAAGTCTATGAGTGGTTAGAGAATGTGGAAAGGATCAAAACTCAAATACTAACTATTGAAAAACTCGGCGAACGGAAATTTCTCTCGATTGCACATCTTGCAAAGCTTGTTGATGAAAAAATTGGAGAAGTTGAAGAATTGCTCGAAAAGGGTAGTCTCTTTAGTGAGATTTCCAGTAAGAAGTTGTTTAAGTATGTGATCATCGGTGGTGGAGTTGCAGCTGGATACGCAGCAAGGGAGTTTGTCAAGCAAGGGCTTGAACCAGGTGAGTTAGCGATCATATCCAAAGAAGCCGTTGCACCTTATGAACGTCCGGCACTTAGTAAGGGCTATCTGCTTCCTGAGGGAGCTGCAAGGCTTCCGGGGTTCCACGCCTGTGTCGGAAGTGGAGGAGAGAAGCTGCTTCCAGAGTGGTATGCGGAGAAAGGCATTGAGTTACTTCTGAGCACAGAAATAGTCGAAGCAGATCTTCATTCAAAGATACTCACTAGTGCAACCGGGGGAATGTTTGAATTCGAAACTTTGATCATTGCAACTGGTTCCAGAGTAATAAGGTTGACAGAATTTGGTGTGCAAGGAGATGATGCCAAAAACATTTTCTACTTGAGGGAAATCAGCGATGCCGATAAACTTGTGGAGGCAATTAGAACCAAGAAAAACGGAAACGTAGTGATTGTTGGAGGAGGGTACATTGGTCTTGAAGTCGGAGCAGCTATTAGAATCAACAAGTTCAATGTCACCATGGTTTTTCCGAAACCGTGGTGCATGCCTCGGCTTTTCACTAAAGAGATAGCCGCTTTCTACGAGGGTTACTACGCCAATAAAGGAGTTCAAATGATCAAGGGCACCACTGCAGTAGGGTTCGATGCTGACACGAACGGAGAGGTAAAGGCAGTGAAACTCAAGGATGGCAGGGTGCTGCAAGCTGACATTGTTGTTGTTGGTGTTGGCGCAAAGCCTCTAATTGATTTGTTTGAAGGGCAAGTCGGTGAAGAGAAAGGCGGAATCCAAACTGATGGAATGTTCGAAACAGATGTCCCTGATGTATACGCCGTGGGGGACATTGCTACTTTCCCTATAAAATTGTATGACGACATGAGAAGAATTGAGCATGTTGACCATGCCAGAAAATCAGCTGAGCATGCTGTGAGAGCTATCAGGGCAAGCGAGGAAGGGAAATGCATTGAAAAGTATGACTATGTTCCGTACTTCTACTCCCGTGCCTTTGATTTGTCGTGGACGTTTTATGGAGACAATGTGGGCGATCTGTTGCTGTTTGGGGACCCCAATCCGGCATCAAACCAACCGAAGTTTGGAGCAGCATGGATCAAGGACGGGAGGATTGTGGGAGCGTTTTTGGAGGGAGGGACAGATGCAGAAAACAAGGCTATTGCCAAAGTTGCAAGGGCACAACCTTCAGCTGAGTATCTGGATACACTGAAAAGGGAGGGCTCTTCCCTTGATATTTCCATGTTAACAAATCCCCACATATAATTTGGGAAGTGAGTTTAATAGGTTACTGGAACTGAACTCTATATATTTATGTTGCACCCTCTATAAAATTCAACAGATTGATAATGTGTGTCCTGGATTTGATATTTTTCAATTCTTCACAGTTCATTCTCTGTATATATTCCTTGGATTGGAAAAGAAAAATTGCCTTCATAATTTCATTGCTCTTTCCTTCTTCGCAATGCCTGAGCTGTTAATTTAGATCCTAACTACGTTCTTTGTGAACTCGGATGGATGAGCGTGTCAACAGGATTACAAATAATAACTATCAAATAACATTTAACGACGGTGGATATTTTGGACAGAAAATTGGTTGAGTTCTTGGTACACGCACTCGTGATTGTTTCTCGTTCTCCATTTTTTTCATTGTTTTCTATCGCTGCAGGTAGGAAGCAAGTGCATCAGATTCTACAGGAAGGATTAAAGGATCAACCACCCCTTTCAGCATCTCCTGATGACAAGAAGAAACCGGAAGATCTTAAGTTGGTGTTGGAGGAAATGCACGCGAACATGGAGCAGATGCAGGAAGGCACGGATATTGTGAAGCAACAATGTAAGACATAAGGGCATCCAAAGAAGATGCCGGATGAAGGCGTTCAGGGTTCAGATCTTCTGCAGGACAATAAGAAAAGGATCTTCATTCGTTCGCGTCTTTAGAACGAGATTTAATGTTAATGACCAAATGCAATGTGATATAGTATTGGGGATAAATCATATTTTACCAAGCATCCATTACTTAGTAAATTTAAAATACCATTTCATTCTGAAGTGAGATTTGTTCTGTATGATATGAATGTTTATGAACTTGACCTGTGTTAGTATTTTTGGAGCAACTCCTTTGACAACTTGATCCATCAATTTCTCAAAATTGTTGTGGTGTATACATTTGCTTTTCTGAAACATAAGTTTTACATATCAACAACATTGTTATACTAAATTTATTTGCTAATTTTGTTGATCAAATGATATATCTACGCAAATGTAAGTACAATATGGATTAATAATAAATGAAATTCAGAATGAGCTTAAATTTCAATAAAATGAAATATTGTCCCATGATTTGGTGGGTATAACACTCAAATTATTAAGCAAAATTTTTTCCCAAAAGAACATTGGGAAATTTAGTTATGTCCCATTAATCATAGACCTTGTTTCACTATGCGCCTTGACCTTTCAATTTGTGCCAACACTTCATGCGGTTTTTGTTAATTATCTTGTCAATTTGAGGGTTATTTTTGTCTGTTTTGTACATTAAAAACCTTTGAATTTACTGTAGTATGTAAATGTATACTTTTAATAACATTCGTTGTAAATGTAGCGTGTTGTTGACATATATGCCCTTGAAATTTTGGTGATGTGCATAGCACGAGATGGAATTTTCGGATATTAGAATTTACATACATGAATTGAAAGTCTAGAGATCAGAAATTCAAATTGGAAGTTCAAAGAACAAAGTGAAACAATGTTTAAAGTTTAGACATCATTAAAGTTTTCTCGATGGTTTTGTTTATACTTTCGATTGATGTACAAAAAGGAAGTGACTTACATGATATATAAAGGGGAAGCAACTTACAATGCACGAAAATGACACAATAACAATATAATGGTGTTGATACACTCCGACTTGGATATTCAAATGAAAATTGAAATTGAAGCATGTTAACAGACATTTGGAAGGTGATGATGCCATAATATGCAAATGATATGTAAAGCATACAAATAAATTAAAATCAAAGTCTAAAACTAAATTAGACAAAGAGTGACAGTGCGTAGGGTGGGAAGAACCCTTATTACAAATGCATGTAGTGTCAGAGCATAGACAAAAGTGCAATAAAGGTAAGAAAATTCTCATCTTGGGGAGGACGGATATTACACAAGTAACATGAAATAAACTTCTTACATTATTAGAAGTAGATGTTAGAATCCCCTAATGAACCCTCGCTCCCCATAGAGTCCAACTATTAAGTCTTGGAGGAACGCAAACAGAAAGTGTAAGCGGGCAAAATAAGTATTTACCAAAACCTTTGCTTTTCGTAACCCAGTGACTGTAGTTGTAAAACCCATAGTTTCCAAAATCATAATATGTGTAAGTATGCAAAACCAACACGAATGGTATAAAAGTAGTTATACTAAGGATACCGGCAAATCACAACTATGTCATCAAATGTAACAAATATGCTCATAAAAGATGCAAACACACTAGTCCATGTATAATGTAGCTACATGCACAGGTTAGGCATAATAATCTACGATTGAATACTATATACATGTGAAGCTAGCGCTAAGCATGTCACATACGAGTCCTAAATGCAAAAACAACTAGTACATATTGGCATCTACAATGAATCCAAAATAAGCATAACAGTGGCATGTAAACATACACATGAAGTTGGTCTTGGCCCGAACAAGTACTATAGACATCCATGTAAAGCATGCATGATGAGCAGATAAAATATGTACGATTATGCCATCATAATTTCATAAATCTCATCTCGACCTCAACATGTAACACTTCTAAGTAAAAGCGTGGCATGGTGTAAAACATTCATAAAAGCCATCATCGAGACTATATAAATATCGTAGAGGTTTGAAAACAAAGCTCACTCACTCATATGTCATTGGATCGTAACCGCCTTACCTCGTTTAGCCTCTGTAATCCTCGGAGTGAGTCCCTCCTATATGAGAAACCACTATACTATTTATTATACTAATTTAAGGGTGCCTAATTCAAATCTGACCTCGGTTTGGCCTAAAGGTGGCAAAAAAACCGTGAAACCGAACGAAGAAGTCACAACTTGTAATTCAAGGTTTCGAATTCGCGTGGATCCAAGGTTGAAATTCAAGGTTCGAATCCGCGTAGATCCGAGCATGAAATGCTCGAATCTCAGCCTAAGGATGATGGTGGGTCAATTTGTGACCACAAACTCATCCAATTCAACGAGATTGAGGTCGGAATGGCCTGGCCGTGTTCTACAAAAGTCACTGGAAAAGAAACAGTGGTGATTAGCTTCGAATCTCACTCGTATGAAGCGTATCCTCATGTACAATGGAAGGGAGATAGTGGTCTAGTGCACGCAAATAAAAAATAAAATAAAATCAATTGGATTTGCTAAAATATCTGAGTTTTGTAAAATCTTTCTTGAGTAGTGTTGTTCATACCATATTTTCATATTATCTTAGGTAGCATTTGATATGGATAACCACATCATTTGAATTAATTAGATTTTTAAATTTAGTTCATTATTTAATAAACTAATAATTAAGAAAAACTAGTTAATTAAACGATGGTTGTGATGTACGAGAAGTCTTTTTTTTTTTTTTTTTTATGGGTTTTGCAAATTTTTCAAATGATATGGCTGTCTACATTAAATGTCACCTAAAGTAATATAGAAATATGATATAAAAACATAATATAAATAACATTAATCATCTTCCTTTGGTTTCAAATTCTATTCTACTTTGCATTCACACGTTTGTATTAACGAGCACTCCTAAATATGAGAAGAAACGGAACAAAATATGAAATACTCTCAAATGTCCACGTAAGATTTCCACGTGCCCTTCTCGGGGTATTTTTGTATTTCCCAAATTGGGAAATATAATACAACAAAATTAGGGACGGCCGTAATCGTGCAATGGGGTAGTCCTCGTAGAAAGAGGAAACAAAAAAACATAGAAGGGTATTTATGGAAATTCAGAAACAATTTTCTTTCTATTTGCCCTCAGGTTTCTTCTACATTGTTCCTTCACCCTCGTGTCGCTTCTCTGGACTTCCACATATTCACTCCGAGCTGACAACCTTTGCGTAGAGAGATCAGACCACCGAACAATGGCGGCATGGACAAAGACGGCCCGTCAAGCAGCGAATATGGCGCGGCTTTCCTCTCCCAAGTCGGTATCCACCGCAAAACCTGCTTCCCTCGTCCATCGGCGCGGTCTTGCCGGCGGCGGCGGTAATTCATTCACCTATGATTGACCTCTTTTCGTTTCATAAATAGCTCCCCGTTTAATCTGTTTCCTTTACTCGTTTGCGTTTGGTTGCTCAGAAAGTGTGAGAAAATATGTATGAATTGTTTGAGAAAAAGCGTTGGGGTTATCAACTTTAAGCCAGTGCCCATGTCATGAAAGTTTTTGGAAAATCTAAATTATCCGGTCCACTATTTGTATCAGTGAATTGTTTACTTGATATTGTACTTGTTTTGACCGTGTTGCAGATCATCATGGACCTCCGAAGGTGAACTTTTGGGAGGACCCAATGCACCCATCTAAATGGAAGGAAGAACATGTGAGTTTTATATCATGTTATTTTTACCCTTACGTGTTCCATCTGTTGTGTCTTGTCCTTAATGGTTTTGTTGCGGTTCGCTGTTGAGACCATCGATTACTTATTTACTTGAGAAATGTCTTGTTTTGGCATGATCATTCTTGTGGTCACGTTACGCGCATTCTCTAGCCCCTTAGTTGTGCTTATTATGTTCCGAGGAAGATCTATGCAATGTCAAAACTCCATGTTTAATTTGTCAAAGTTTATAATCAATGGATAGCTCGCGGTTATTTGTTTTTTTAGCGTCAATCAAAAAGTTGCACCCGCAGGGTGAAATAGAAATCCGGAATGGACAGCTCTCAGTCCCTTTGTGATGTTGAGGAACGAATTACCGGTGCTATGTATGCACTATGCAGTGGTCCTAGATTCCACTCCGAAAAGGTGGTATGTCTGTGAGAAAGTTTGAATGCTACTATTATTCAGGGTGTATATTGAGGCTCTAGTCCATATGATAATGTGGGAGAGGAGGAGATATGCTGGGGGATGTCGTTAAGTTGTCTGTTGAATTACTCGGTAAAACGAGACAAAATGATCTGGTTAAGTCCTCACACCAAAATAACAACAACGTTGCATGCGAGCGCAAACTTATTGTTCATGACAGTCAAAACTAACATCTTATGGCTTTGCTTCACCTGGCTTTTTCTTTTTGGTCCCTTACAGTTTGTGCTCGTCTCTTTAGCTGGATGGGGGGCGGTTATATATGGGGGTTACAAGCTCTTCACAAAAGGCAAAGAGGACAAAAAGAAAGAGGTACTATATCTATTTCATTTTCATGTCATGATCTCATGAAACTAAATAATCAATGTGTTACGTGCTTTCTCATACTCTATTACGTGGTTGTATCCAGTATTTAGTGTCTTGGGGCCGCATCTGAACCGTCAATTCTCAACCCTTGCATTATAAGTTATAGTATAAATGCAATGTAGGAAGCTCTGTTTGGTGTTGAGAACTTGGCCGCATAAAATGATTTGAGTTGCATGAGTTGGGTGGATTGTTTATGTATGCTGTTTATGCGGTGTCTTGACGCATGTTTCACCTGCTAGAGGTGTTTTCTTTTGTTCATCAAAGCATTTGATTAGTTGTAGCTCTTGTTGGATGACTTGCATATTTTTGAAACTTTGAAATAAGTGTGCACTAGATGAAGTCTTCCTTATCTGCTTCCTTTTTCTTGCAGAGAGTTGAAGAACGGCCACACTAACTTTCGGGGGACTGAATAGATGTGCAAATAAATAAACCGTGTGTGTTTTGGCATGATGTTACAGGACACCGTACTTTTTTAGGCAGTTTTTGTTGTACATGGCAACTTTGTAACTACACGGTGCCTATTCACTTTACCAAATGTTGGTTTTGCCTATAGTGGATATATTCCTCCCGATGTACCCAAGTTTGAATCCTCCTCTGCACCTCATAACAATGAATGGGCAAAAATTTATCTCATAGCCTTATATGAAAGAAAGTTGAGTGAGCAATTTGCGAAAACTTAGAACAAACACAATTGGTTCCGTATGCTTCATCAAGCACAAGGGCAATGCAAAAGAATGCATGCAGAAAATGAACAATTCACGTCCTTAAATAATATACAACGCACGACGCAAAATGTTCTTTCGAAGCTTTCTAAATACAACTATTGTGTTGTCTGTTCTATATGTGCTATTTTCCATTATCTACGAGTAACCAAATCATTTCGAAACATAAGTAGTTTTTCTTCCAGGCAACCTCAGTCTGCATCTTTTACTTCTGCTTCGATATCAACGACTGCCTTCGAAGAATCCTTCCCTGTAACCAGTGTCAAAGCTCAGAAAACATATCGATTGGACGCACACACTGATATAGAAAAGCCCTACGATTTATGGATTCATCGATGCTTATGAGTCGATTTATACCCTTCGCCCTTAATGCAGATAAAAACGAAAGCAATGGTGACAAGAAAAATGCAGACGTTAACGATCATCAAATGCAGGCTCTCAACATATGATCGGGAAGAGAAAATGGCGACAGGGGTTTCAGGGATAACCTCTTGTGGAACGGGTGAAGTCGTTGACTGCCTGCCCAAATGTTGTAGATTGTTTGGAGAATTTTATAGGGTCCATTACGAACTTGTCGTCCACCACTGGAATTAAAGCACATCTTAGAACATGAGGCAACATCAACTATAGTTTCCCATCAAATACCAAAAGAAAATCATTCCTACTAGGGACGCCGTAGTGAAATGGCATTGCTCTATTGACAGGATAAAGCAGTGCTCTATTGACAGGATAAAGCAGCATGAGGAATTTTTGGAACTAAGAAAAAACATAAACCCAAAATTTTTGACAACTACTCCGAAAACAGGGGTTCATCAACACGAAAAAACTCATGTAATATAGTCAGTAATGGTAACGTAAGTAAAAGGTCTGCAGAGTGCAGAAAGCTAAGAGGCAAAAAGCTGCGAGTATACTTTGGAACTCTGAAGGGCAAGAAACCAAAATATGAGAATGTACCTGAGAAAGGTTGACTACAGTAGGGGCACAGCTGCAGATCATCATTTAAAGTAGACCTGCAAGATAGGCCAACTTTCATTCATAACAATCCTTAGAAACTAGAGCATAACAATTCGATATAGGTATCCGTAAGCTAGCTTGACATTATAACAGATTTCAACAGATCTTACTTGAAAATCTGGAAAGCGTTTCCACAGTTTGGACACTGCAAGTACAAAAAGAAAAGCAATCATTCAAGGCACAAGACTGCAGAGTAAGAATCTAAACGTAACATTGGAAAAAAATCACCCTCAGGATGGTACTCGAAAAATACTTGATTAAGAGTCGATAACATTTGAGTGGAGAGTTCAATAATTTTTGTACGAACAAGTATCATTCAAGTACTCAAATTTTTTTCAATTATTCTGCAGGTAACATGCATTCCTCTGATACTTCTCCCGAAGGGAAGAATGAACTGATTACGATTTGAATCCTTCAAAACCATGTATCCAAATTATCTACTTATAAAGCACCTGCGATACAGTTATTTGAAATCAAGACATCTAATACTGCAAATATTCTCAACTCCTAATGAACCAAAATCACAGAGCTTTTCGGTAAACCATCCATTCTTCATATATCACCCAAATTAAAAGATCACTAGATTGAAACTATACTCCCAACACATGCCAAAACATTATGTAAGACCAACATAACTAGCAGACAAAACTAATACAAACAAAAGGTATTAGCTCCCTATCCTGAATTACTAGTCAATGTTTGCAAATGCATAAAGGGAAACGATCAAGATGGGAACATGAAAATTAAAGCAACAATTGAGTTGCGATTTTCCGGCAAAACCCAACAACAGAAATTCGATACGCAGTCGAAGAAAACTTAAAAGTTGAAGTTGGCTTACACTGTCTTGAACCATATCGCGCCCTGCCCACCACAGAAAAGCACCCACACCAACAATTGGTACAAACACTGCAATCAGCTGCATATCAAAACCCATCAATTTCATTAGACATACACAAAACAGTAGTAACATACCCAGAAATCTTCAGAAATGTTAGAGAGAGAGAGAGAGAGTACCCAAATGGAAACAATTGCATCCAAAAGCCAGCCAAGCTGCCCAGTAAACGAAAGATAAGTCAATCCAATAGCCACAGCCAAATTACCCAGAAGTCTAGCAGTGGCTCCGTCATCCTTCCCACCACCACCACCACCGCCTCCGCCACCATTAAACCCACCAAACCCCTTATTCAACCTCACCACGACCTCCCTTTTCTTGTTCTTGTTCCTCTTCCACCCTTCATCTTCCACCAAAATCCCATCCCTGTCCCAATAAGCCTGCAACCTGAACTTGCTCTGCTTCAAAAACCCAATCTTTGTCCTCGATAAAGGAAAATATTTGATGGGTTTCTTGCTTATCTCATTGTGCAAACTGCTCAGCCTGTAAACTAAGGAACTGATGGAGATTTGAGCGACGGTTGCCATTGAAAAGATTGGAAGCTCTTAAGAACAAAACGACCCAGTATCTTAAATCTCTGGTTTCAAACTTCTCATGGTGGGATTTGGCTTGAGTGAGAGGGGAAAAGAAAATTTCTCTTTGGATTTGGCTTTTCTACTTTCTCGTGTGTCGATTTGGTTTTTCTACGTTCAGCACTGCACCAACTTAATCTGACGATTTTGTTATTTACCACGGATATGTGACCAACAATCATGCAGTTTCAGATGTGACTCGTGGACGGTTGTTGAAAAATGTTTTCTTCGCACTTTTTATTATCACATTGGTGTTCTTTGTATTATTATCTTATCTCTTCTTTTCTAAAGCCATTTTTGTTTATGTTTTGGTATGTAAATATAACACATAACGCGACAATCAAAATCTTCCTCGAGCACGACAAAGTTTATTCGAAAGTTTTCTTTTGTAATTGTCATCTTGCACTTCCATTTTATAAAAATGTAATTTAAAAAAAAAAATTATTATTGGCACAGCTGGATACTGATGAATGGAGAGATTCATTCGTATTAGCATCGCGATATTGTATGGACAGATTCAATCGTATTAGAGCTTGCTTACTATGGAATGTTGAATTGGGTTGGATCCGTTCATGATGAACAACATCAGAAACACCGGTAGAGGTACTAGTAGCGGCAATGACGACGATACCATTGATTATTACAAATGCCGTCTCATTGTGGTGCCGTGGGGATGCCTTTAGATGTGCAACTTCAACGACTTGACCGATAATTTAATTGTTTGAAATTTTCAAAAATTCCAGAATCCCAAATTTAATCAGGCGACAAAGAGACAGTCGAACACCGAGCACAAAGCATATTAAAAGGTCAAGCCATGTCAACTATGGCCGTTTGGTTGCAGAGAAAAACGCTTGCTTCTTTCGCTGCGAAATTTTCTTGCGTTTCTGGAGAGCTATGAGAAAATACGCAACTGGTTTGTTGGCTGGTCGGATTGAGATTATTGGGCACTAAGAGAGGGAAGCGATTGGAGGCTTGGAGGTTGGAGCTCTTTGAACTTTAATGGTTGTAGAAATAGAGCTCAGATTACACAATGTATCATGTATCTAAATATGATAGCCTCTGACATGTCAACAGCGGGGATAGCTCAGTTGGGAGAGCGTCAGACTGAAGATCTGAAGGTCAGGTGTTCGATCCACCTTCACCGCATTTCGTCATCATTTAAATTTTTTATTTTTATTTTTCTGTAGAAGCCGAAGGAGAAGCTCCGAGTCCGACCCGTCAAATCATAATAAACCATATCGCAACCACTCATGCAAAGGTTATCACGGTGGGGGTGGTGGTGCGACATAGAGTGGATATGGTGGCGTTAGAGACAAAATGAGATAAGAGAGATCAAGATTCTGTGTTTAGAGTCTGCGAATTAAGAAATCAAAACCACTTAGTTTCAATCTTACGACTCCAACTAGTTCATCTCACTACTCACACTTTATATATCCCAAAAACTAAAACGGTCTAGATCTCTCTCTTTTGAACGTCGGGATCTCTCATTTGCAACTCCCAACACCCATTTCCATAGTGGATCTCAATGCGAACAAAAGGGGTGGGTGTTTTGGTGTTTTAGGATAGGGTTTTTGAAGAAAAGAGTGTGAGTTAGAGAAATCTAAACCACTCAGTTTCAATCATACGACCCCTACTAGCCCATCCCACTAATCCACCCAAAAACTAAAATGGTCTAGATCTCTCTCTGTTGAATGGTCTAGATATCTAGTCCACAACTCCCAACACCGATTTCTAGAATGGATCTCAATGCAAAGAATAGGGGTGGGTGTTTTGGTATTTTATGATAGGGTTTTTAAAGAGAAGAGTGTGAGTTAGAGAGGGGGTGGAAGAGGGCGGCAAACACTGCATCGCAGTCAGAGCTCATGAATCTCCGAAAGTAGGACAGAGGTGCACGTTTTACAAATGAGTTGTAATTTGGCAAGAAAAAGCAGCAAAGCTGCCAAATTTCCTAATATCATTAGTGAAACTTGTCAATTCAGCATTCATTCTTGCACATGATTGCATTGTATTCAAAGTTCATTCGACGATTTATGTATAAATATGTTCAGTGAATTGTAGAGTTTCCAAAATTTAAGTAAAGTATGTAAATGCCTCATTAATGTGAGTCATTTCAACATATTCCGCAACATATAGGTATGTTGTGCCTTATGATCTGTTGGGATGTCCCTTATAAAATGAGTTGATTTCCAAATTAAACTTTGAGATGTGCCTTATGATCTGCTGGGGTGCAGGAACACAAAGTTATGGCAGGAGAATGTCGAGCCACCTGAGGTGTGTGTTATGTGGTGGCAGTAATTCGTAAGGTCGGTATGTGTTACTTCAAATTGCGGTATTGGGACCTAGGTCATACCCAGGTGGGTTGCACCTTCCTCGGGACGCCTCCAAAATGAACGTTGACGGCTCTAGGAATACTGAAATAAAGGTCGCGGGTTC